CACTCGGACGCATCGCGGGGGGCCTGGGCGGGCGCGCCTTGGTCCCACCCTTCGCCAGCGGGATGGACTCGTAGCTCAGCCTCAAAGCGCGCGCGCCGCACTTGTGCAACTTCGCCGAGCCGTTGCCCAGCAGCGCCCCCCGATCTAGAGGGTGTCGACAGGCCATCTGGGCCGAGGTGATGACCTTCATCTCCCTGGGCCAGTCCTGTGGAAAGAGACGACACTGAGCGCTCATTCGCAAAAGATTGATCCCTGTCAGCTCCTCGCGCGTCGCCATGCGACTGACCGCTGCTCCCCCGCAGAACACTGTCTTTTGGATATCGTCGGGTATCGGCTGGTCGGTCGCTATCCACATCTGAGGCTCGTCCGCCTCGGACTTCATCGGATCGGTCGAGGAACTGCGCTCGGTTGCTGTAGTCGTCGTGGTCGACTGGTTGGTAGGCAAGCCCGTTCGATCCAATGGCTACGGAACTGCTTGAGCTTTCGGGGTCGGAGGTCCTGGTGGAGCGGTTCCCTGGCCAGCTGTCTGAGAAGGACGTGCTCGATGGAGTTGCGCATTCCTCGCTGGCATTGGGCTCAAAACCGGACGTGCGTGGCGTGTTTCCGCGCTTCCCCGTTTTACGAGCTTCGTCCAGCACTCTGACGAGACCTTCCTGAGTTGGGCCCTCTTGGGGCCCTCTCGGCCCGTCTTCGGGCCTCCCCCCCTCTCCTCCGTCCTCCCGTTTGGACCCTGGGCTCCTCGACGCAGTCGCAACGCGCGCCCTGGCCCTCGAAGGAGTCGGCGTCGGTTCGACCCCCAGGCTTCTCGACGCGGTCGCAGCGCACGCACTGGCTCTCGGAGGCGTCGATGTCGACATGACGGTCGGAACTTCTGGCTTTCCGTCGCCCCTCGCGCACTCCCCGAACCTCCTGGCCTGTCCATCGCAGCTATCGCTCGGCCCCCTCGCACCATCGATCGCGTCGGGTCGGACCTTATACTTGGGAGAAAGGCGAAACGCTCCCAGCTTCAAGTTAGACTTAGCAGCAACAGCGGGCGGCACCTCAAAGTCCTCGGGGGGTCCCAGACGATCTACGTTCACTACTCGGTGACCGCTGGGGGGCTTCTCGAGAGGCGCCTCGACCCCGAGATGGGCGAATTGAACTCGGCCCTGGGGCAGATCGATGACTGCCCCCAACATCTTTTGCATGCCCACTGGCATGAGTGCAGGGAGCTCTTGGCCTACGAGGTCTACCTGCATCGCTCCCCCATGGCCCTCCAGGCCCAGGGGGGTCAGGATGCCAGAGAGGACTGGGATGCGCCCTCCCACTCCTCTCGCAAAAGCGTTACTACTTCTCACTCGCTCAACCTGGTAACTTAACTCACTCAACCTCTTTTCCAGCTGGGGCAACGACTTCGGGCCTATGAGACCCTGTGCCGCTGCGGTGTCCACGATGATCTTGCCGCCCTCGGCGGTCATGAAGACGCCCCCCTGGAACGGCTCGGCTCCAGGGGCGCTGCGGAGGGCCTCTTCGCAGCGGCGGACCACGTCGCTGAGCGTAGCCAGCGCCAGCCCGGACCCCCCGGCGGACACCTCATTCATGAACACGAACCCATTCACGGACGACTGCGTGTTCTCCGGGCACTCCCTAGACCAGTGCCCCTTCTTGCGGCACTTCTTGCACTTGGTGGCCTTCATCAGTTGCTCGAAACCGAGGCGGTCGCGCCCGGGGCGGGGCTGGCCGCCGCTGCCGGCGCTGCCGCCAAAGCGCTGGTCTCCTCCTCCGGCTCCCCGGCGTTCCGGGCGAGGACCTCCAGCGGGATGGTGCGGAGGCGGGTAGAACTTCCTATCCACTTTTGCTTGCATTTTCATCACCTTATTATCCTTTCATGTCTTCTTTCGTTCCTGTCGCAGCTCGGCCAGAACGAGTGGAGCCTGATCCTCATCGATATCCGCCGAGTCGATGCATAGTAGTATCTCGTTCGCCATGCCCGTGTCCACTGAGATCTCCGACTCGGCGTCTTGATCCTCGAAATACGTGGTCGAGCTCTCCTCGCCTCCTTCTCCCAGGAATGTGCGAGCTGCTCTGCCAGGCGCCGAGAGCGACTCCGTCTTGGACAAGTCGAGTTCTCGGATAGCGTTCCTGATATCTTCGTACTTTCCAGAGCCGCGTGTGAGGATTCGCAACATCTGCCTGCCGCTGTCGTCGAGGTTCACCCCTTCCTCCATGAGGAGGTGCATCCACTTGTCCGGGAGGGGAAGCCCCTGCGCTCGGAGCAAGTCGAACTGCTGCTCCATGCGTGCCGCGTACATGGAGAGCGTCTCTCCGGCCTTGCGTTGGTAGCCGAAGAGACATTCTCTCGCTGCTCGACGATCCTCATCTTCAACTCTCCTACCACTCATCACGTCGAGACGTTTCAGAATTACTTCTGGGCCGACATCCGAAAGCAAGACCTCGCCACTGATGTCTTCCATCTTGCGCTGCAGCTCAAGATCCAGCACTTTAAACAGCTTGTCTGGACGCTTGGTCGGCAGCGCGTCAGTGGACGCCAACCAGCGTTTTATCTTTCGGCGCAAGATACGAAAGTCGGCCCATCCCATCCAAGGATCTGGATCCGAGTAGCCGGGCTTGGCTCATGTTCGATCCTGCCAGGACCAACTGGACGAACACCAGTCTTGGCCCCTCGAGGACCACCTCTTGTCGTCGTCATCGTCGGTCCTCTTCGTCTCCTCGTAGCCGTGGCTCTTGTCGTTCGAGCTCTGCCACCAGGACACGCGCGTATCTCCCCGCGCGGTACTGCGCTCCCACTGTCCTGCTGGTGTCCGCGCGTTCGATTCCTGCCGGCCGCCCCATGGGTCCTGCTCTGCCCACGGGTCGTCGCGAGCTTGCCGGCCCGCACCCTCTGCCCCTGGCGCCGCCGCCGAGCCGGAGGCTCCGGACTGGCGCCCGCTCGCTGTCTCCTGCAGCAGGTCCTTCAGCTGTCGGAACTGGCGACTGCTGCTCTCTGAGATCATCCTCGCTATTACGGCCAACTGCTTCTCCGAGAAAGCGTCAGCCTCCTCTCCGCCCTCGAGGCTAGCGGACATCTCCCCTGTCTCCGATCTTGCACCTACCGGCCTCCACACACCACTGTGTCCTCGTCGGCTGCCCTGGCTGCTGTGCGAGGACATGCGGCCGCGCCAGCAGCTGAGCCCGCGGACGACCGCAGGCCCCGCTACCACTGACACGCCAACGTCGGCAACGGCAACAAGCAATGGTGCTTGCAAGGGCGATTGCAAGACAGAAGCTCAGAGGGTGCCCCTTGAGCCAACATGATCACGGAAGCATGTATACATGGAAACCCTCTCCAAGGATTCGAAAATAGTTTAAGCTCGTACAGGTGAATTCCTCAAAGCCACCGCAGCCGGGCCGAGCGCCAAGAGGAGGGGGGGGAGGGGCCGCCGATAGCCGCGAGTGTAAGAAAGAAAGAGGGGCCCAACAAGCGGAAAACGAGGACCCAACAAGCGAAGAAGGCAAGCCTCAGAGGTGATGCTCGGCGGCTTCCGCGGCCCCCGTTGCCTCCGCCGTGACTTCCCGCGCCTTCCCACCGGACAGGGCAACGTGAACTGGGCGCCACCGACCCAGGTGCAGCTGCCACTGTCGGGTCCGGTCGACGTTGAGGCCCACTGCGCTGCTGAGGACCCGAACGTCGCCTTTGTGGCTACGGAAGGATTCCAAGAAAAAGTGGCAGGTGTGCGGGTCGTGCCGCAGCGGGTCGAGCGCGCCCTTGCTGCAGGGCCCAGGCTGCCGCTTGGCGAAAACGTGCCAGGCGCCACTGAACATCGGTCCAAATGTGACTTGGAATCGTCGTATCGCTTCGCCAGGCGTCTCCCCGGGGAGGTCCCACTGAATGTTGTTGATTCCAGTTTTGTAGAGCTGCTGCCCCGAGTGGGGGTCTGTGGGCTCTGGCCACTGCCGCGGGTCGGGCCTCTGGTGTGGCCGTGTGCCCGGGCCGCAATCTTCCACCGCAGGTACCTCGCAGCCCTGGCTGGGGGACTCGCGATCTGCTCGCGGCACCTCCAGCTGCACGCGTGGTAAGACCTTGTGGTGAATTACAGGCCTCAAGGTTGGCCGCCAGGCCAGCATGGCGCGGGGGGAACTGCTCACAGTTGGGAGGCCTGTGCCAGGATGGGAGATGTGCCCCTGTCTTGCAGTAAGAGTGCCCTGCGCAGCGCTGGGCGTCCGCGCACAGTAGCCAGAGTCGACTGCCTCAGCCTCAGCCTGGGGATGCTCTCCTTGCACGGTGCGGGGGGCATAAGGCACCGCCACGTCGTCGTCGGCGTCGGCGTCGGCGTCATCGTCGTCGTCGTCTTCGGCGTCGGCCTCTCCCTCTCTGGTGGCGCCCAGGACACCTGAGGGCGACGGGGGTTCGACGCCCATCAGAGGCTCATTGACAGGTGAGGGGGGGCGAACTTGCACGGCGCGGGGGGGACAGGCTTCGGCATCGGCCTCTCCCTCTCTGGTGGCGCCCTGGACGTCTGTGGGCGTCGGGGGTTCGTCGTCCGCAAGAGGTCCACTGACAGGGGACGGGGGGCGAATGGGCGCGAAGAGGTTTCTCTCAACGAGCCGGGGTATGGCTATGTCGTCCTGCGAGTGGGTGGCAGGTCCGTGGTCTCCCTGTTGAGTGGAATCGATGCTGATCCCTACGCCGCTTCCCCAATCGTGCGCCCACTCGTCGTCCAGGGTGGCATTTCTGCACTCGCTCTCGCTTGGAGGCGACCCCCCCGCAGCGTCCATCCCAATCCTGAAGCGAAGCGTGAAGAATTAGGCGGCATGCAAGAGAGGGTAAAAGAACAAGGGCGGCCGCGGGGAGGACGGAGGGAGGAGCACTCATAACGCACGACACGAACACGAACACGAAACCAAAACCTATTTCCTGGTGGGGGGCTCTTCGTTCCACTGCGATCTTACACCACAGCCTCCGATGTCCTACGACATGAACTGGATATGGTTGCCTGGCAGGCGACACCTGGCTCGCGGTCCTCGAAGATGCAGCACCGCTCGTCGATAAACTGCTGGATGGGCGCGATCCACGTTGGAGACTGTCGGAATGAAGAACACACAAAAAAGGAGAGAGAGAGAGAGAGAGAAAGAAAGTGAGAGCTAGATATACAAAGAGAGAGAGAGAGAGAAAGATCAGAGAACGAGAGATAGAGGGAAAGAGAGATAGAGAGAGAGATAGCGATAGAGAGAGAGAGAGAGAGATCCGCTACCATGCCCCCTGGCACGATGAGGCGTGGTAGAATGCCAGGTGCTGCCTGGCAGGTTTTCTGTCGTGTTGTGAACCCCCCGCCCCCTACCAACATCCACCTGCATGCATGCATCGCCTTCCCCCCCCCAAAAAAAAACCCACCCCGAGGCTCCCTGGGCACCGCGACGCCCCTCTGGCGCTCTCCAAGGAGTCCAAGATGCCCAAGATAGCCTCCAACACGGCCGAGACAAGCCACCCCTATTCCCAGCATGGCCGAAGAGGATGCCCCTGCGACGGCCCAAGATGGCCCCAAGACGTTCTAATATGGCCTGAATCTTGCCTGAGAGGCCCTCAAGTGGTCCAGCGGGCTCCGATGGAGGGCACGGCAACGCCAAAGTCATTTGACTTCCCGTTTGTTTCCCTCCTAGCGTGTCGCTAGGATCATAGAAACAGTTCAATAAAAAAAAGGGCAGGGAGCCTGCGAACGCCATTGACGGCAACCGTTTCGACTGAGACTTCCTCACACGTTCTTCAAGAATCGTGCTCTCGCCTCAATGCCGGCTACATGTTTGGTCCGGACGGCCATGGTCCCTAGTATGTATATAAACGAATCGTTAAAGATACCACGATTTAAAAGTAGATACAAAAACACACACACACACACACCACGGTGCACATGGCCGTGCTCTCACCGCTTCCACACGGCCACGATTGTATGTACACTCATATTGTACGGTGGCCGTGCTTTCACCCTGTCACAGGGCCACGACCCCATGTACAAAAATGCACTGCGGTGCACATGGCCGTGCTCTCACCACTGTCCCACGGCCGCGATCCCTGGTAAAGTATACGCAACGGTGCACATGGCCGTACTCCCACCGCCGCCACACGGCCACAATCCCTGGTAAACAACTACGGTGCACATGGCCGTGCTCTCACCACACGCCCCCCCCCCTGGCAAAACACACGACGGTGCACACGGCCGTGCTCTCACCCCTGCCACGCGGCAACGATCCCTTGCAAATTGCCCTACGACGTGCCCAATCCATCTGCAACGGGTGACCGTACTTTTTTTCAAACTGACTGTCACTAACGATACACGGCACGGAGCGATTTTGAAGCGAGCGCAAACTGGGAATCTCGTGCGTTGCACGACTTACGGGATAGGACAGCTGGACGCCGCTGCGCTGGACCTCCCAGGCACCCACAACAATAGCGATCATTGCGCAGTTCGCAACACCACAAGGAACCACGAGGTCCGGTCTGGATCCGCATAGGGCACCACTCCTCCCAGGAGCTCATACACATGGGAACCACTGCGCAGCTCGCAGTCTCCCAAGGGGCCGCGAGGCCTCGCCTGGATCTGCACGGCCCTGCACTCCACCGTGCCTCCCAGGAGCCACGGCCATGGCGAGAAGCGACCAGCTCGGAGCCCCGCACGGAGCCACGAGGCCTCGCCTGGATCTGCTGGCCCTGCCCTACGCCGTGCCTCCGGGACGCCGGGAAGCCCGCCCGCGAGAGCGGCGACAGCGCAGCAGTTCGCCCCCCCCCCCCCCCCGGGATCCGCAGGGTCCGCCCCGCCCGAGCCGGCGTGGCCCTGCGCTCCGCCCTGCCTCCCAAGAGACGGCGAGAGCGTCGAGCCGCGAGGGCTCGCCTGGCTCTGCGCTGCCCTCCGCCCCGCCGAGCCTCGCAGGAGCACGCGGTAGCGCGGCAGCGGCGACAACCGCCGCGAGGTCTCGCCCGGCTCCGCGTGGTCCTCCGCCTCCATCGTGCTGCCCAGGAGCCCAGGGACGCAGCGACGAGCTCACAGCTCGCAGTCCGCGAGGTGTCGCCCGGATCCGCGCAGGACGCCACTCCGTCGTGCCTGCCAGGAGCACACGGACATGGCGACGGCTGCGGTGCTCGCAGCCCCTTGAGGATTCGCCAGGTCTCGCAAGGACCCGGCCCACTCCGCTGTGCCCCACCCCCAGGGGCCCAGGAAAGTGGCAGCAGTCGTGCAGTTCGCAGCCCCACATCAGGAAGGGCAGGACAAGGGAGGCAAGGAAGAGAACGATAAGGAGGGGGGGAAGATGAGGGGGAGGAGGGCAGTTGACGCAAGCAGTGTATATGCAAAACGGAAACCTATACAGAGGGAGGGTTGGGAATTCGCCGGCCCAACGGGCCAGAGGCGTGCTAAGATCTCCTGTAACTGGTTAACAATATTTCTAGTTCGCGCGCGCGCGGCGGCCCCTGGGGGTCCCCCGGCGAAAAGTATCCCGACCGCAGCCCGACCAAGTCTACCCAGAGATGGTTTTGAGGGCCTTTTTTCGACACCCCTCACGAGGATCGTGGCCTCCGAGGCCCCAACACGCCGCCAAGGAGCCCCAAGAGACCCCAAGAGGCCCCCAAGAGGCCCCTGGGAGGCCCCAAAGAGGCCCCCAAGAGGCTTCAAAGAGGCCCCATAGAGCGCTCGAGGACCGGCGGTATGATCGAAGCGATTACATAAAGAAGGATGCAGGAGGGGGTGATTCAGGAGTAGATAGGGAGCAGGAGGAGAGGACAGAGTCGCGACTGCCGCGCTCGATTCAACGCGAGAATCCAACACAGCGAAATTGGGACACTCTTCGAGACGTGCCCAACCCCTCCTCCAAACGAGGCGACAGTCTATACGAACGTTCAACACAAAAGACCACGTTGCGACGACAATCTACGCCGCTGGACCTCACAGGAGCCAACGCAAGTGGCGGAAATTGCGCAATTGGCAGCCTCCCAGTGGTCGGTTTACACACGGCGTTGGTTGCTCATCTTGGTGCGGAACATACTGTCGGACTCGATTGGACAGGACACGCGAGAGGACACAAGACCCTTCCGAAGGCCACATTGCCACCCGAATGTAGGAAGCATGGGTCGCGAGACACAGGACACAAGGGTACCCTTGATTTGGCAGGGTCGACCTACTAATCTGGGCCGACTGTACTTGGGCGCAGTGCCTGCAGGACCCCATCGAGTGACGAAGTATTGCTGAACACATTGCACACCACAATCATGAACCCGATCACCAGTAGCAGTCTGCAGTTTGTCCATACGCTGCATGTGATACTCGGTGCCTTGGCGTACTGTCAGCAGCCTTCGGCCAGACACGTTCCAGGCGAAGCTCGTATCATTCGCCATTTGGTTGTCCTCCATCCTTCCTCCTCCTCCTCCTCCTGCTGCGCATGTCTTGATTTATGCGACCGCCGTCGTGCCGCCGCTCCCGCAAAGCGGTGAGAATAAGCTGGCTCTGTCTTCTTTTCGCCCACGCGCTCCTGCGTATGGCATGAATGAGAGAGTGAGGGTAGCCTCCCAGTGAGCCGCGAAGTCTCGCCTGACTAATTACCGCCTCCGCTGGGCCTCCCAGGAGCCCACGAACGTGGCGACATTTTGACACTTGGCAGACTCCCAAGGAGCCGCGAGGTTCGCCTAGCTACCGCCTTCGTTGGACCCTCCCAAGAGCCCGCGAACAAAAAAAACGACAATTGCGCTGGTCGCAAACACAGGGAGCCGCGAGGTCTCGCGTGACTATTGTCTCCGCTGAACCTCCCAAGAGCCCACGAAAGTGGCGGCAGTTTCGCAGTTCGCAACCTCCCAAGGTTCAACGAAATCTCGCCTGACTACTACCGCCTCCGCTGGACCTCCTAAGAACCTATGGGAATGGCGACAAGTGCGCAATTGACACCATCGAAAAAATCGCGCGGTCTCACGCGACTACCACCTCCGCTGGACCTCCCAGAAGCCCGCAGACAAGAGTGACGACAGCTGTGCAGCTCGTTACTGGGAGGGAAGCACAGCGGGAGAGGAGGAGGATGCAGGGAAGGGGGAGGAGGTGGGAGGTTGGGAGGGAAGTTCGGAAGGAGGCGCGCGAACAACACTCTCTCCAGAACAAGAATCAAGAGGCCTGGGGTACCACGGTGCACATGGCCGTGCCCTTGACCCTGCCATGCGGCCACGACCCCGAGCACACATGATACGGGGCGTGCCCGACCCCTTCTGCACGCGATGCGATCATAGGTCTGCGTGACAATCCACTCTGCCAGGCCTCCCAGGAGCCCACGAGCGTGGCGACGATTCAGCAACCCCCCAAGGAGCCGCGAGGTCTCGCGTGACTACCGCCTTCACTGAACCTCCCGTGAGCCCACGAAAATTGCAACAAAGGATTTGTTCGCAGTCTCTCAGGGAGCTGCTAGGTCTCGCGTGACTACCGCCTCCGCTGGACCTCCCAGGAGCCCATGAAGGTGTTGTCGTCGGGCTCGAAATATCTGCCTCTTCCTCTACCTTCGGCTGCTCCTCCTCACTCCTCAATCTTGTAATTCCTCAACGGTCTTCGTTCCTCCTCGATGCTGCCCCTCACTCCTCCAATTTCTCCTCCTCCTCCTCCTCCTCTTCGTTCCTTCTCTTCGTCCCCGCTACTCCCTCACCATACTTCTCGCGGCCGTATCTCGAGCTATTGTTGGCGCCAGACAGGCCAGAAAACGGCGGTTTGTGATATCGAGATCGGGAGGTGCTCCAATACTCTGAAGGGCCGAGCGCCTAGCGGTCACGGACAGTTGAACTGGAGCCTATAACCACCCGAAAGGCCTCTTGAGAGGAAGGGGGGGCTAATCTAAGATAAGGCAGCGCCTCGGAAGGTCGGAAAGTGAACGCACCAAACTCGTTGCACCATCACATGAAAGTGCTAGATTAGCAGTTATTTTGGCTGACAGTGCTGTCATCCACTGTTCATGCTGGGGTCCTTGTTTGCCATTCGTAGAATTCTGGGGGGGCAGACAACACAATGGCCACACCACGAGCGTACGACGGTTGAGGTAATCGACGACAACGGGCAGGAGAGGACGG